TGCTTTCATTTCACATCTGCAGAATGTGCAGCGCTTCGACAGTAATGACTCAGTCCAAGCTCAGCTTCTCTGCTTCCGTTCTGCTCTCAGCATTTACCTAGTTATGTTATTGCCATATAATTACATGAGACCCACCTTCCACTCACCTATTTTTAAGCCTGTGTAATCATAGCTGGCTTAAGTACAGAGCACCAGAATGATCTGCACTTACACCGAGGCCTCGCTGTAATTACATGTATACAGAGTTATTACTGTGCACAGTATCCTCACGTCAGGTAGGTTTCAGACTACATTTACATGCTCTGTGGCAGAATTTTAAACAAGCGTAACTAGTTAAAGAAGTCGAGACGTCAGCCGTATTTTCATGCAGTTTCTCTTTCAGTGAACTGATTGAGACTGATGCCTCGTTCACTGACATCTAACAAACAGCTGCAAGAAATGAAGGACTTAATGAAAGGGAATTTCTGAACATGAGATTTAGGCCATTAGGTCCAGTGATAGACAGGGGTGCTGTTGTGATGCGGTGGTTGGAAGGTGGCTTTTTAGTATAGATTTGATTAAAACATTTAGAGAAAGGACATTTTTATTCAGTTTGTAAGTTTTGTTCAATAATACCAGGGGAAAAAAACAGTTTTGGAATGTTATAATTAGTTATTATTAATCATTTTTGGCTAAAATATTCTCTTTAAATGTAGTAGTGTAGTAGTAGTAGTAGTAATAATAATAATAATAATAATAATAATGTGGTGTTTTTATTGTCTATGTTCCACTACTGTGTAAACAGTGTAAAAAATTGTAGTGAATGATGCTTTGAATCATTTACTAAATAATCACAATCAAATCATGGTAGAAAATTGGGATGTCCTGATCCATTGAGTTGTTTTCTAAGGAATCATAAAATGAAATGGATTGCTTTTTAACATTTTCAACTCCTTGGGAACTCACCTGAAAGTTGAGCAATTTTTCCACAAATCTGGGCTATAAACTGTAAACAGATGGGGTCTCTTCAGTGATCTGCTCTGTAAAAAATATTTTTATAAAAAAATACAAAGAGCGTCTAAGATTTTTGGTTTCAATGATTCAATGATGCACTGGATTGTTTTCTAAACAATCATAAATTGAATCAAAAAATCCGTGAATTCAGAATGCACGGTATTGTTTTCTAAAGAATCATAAATTGAATCACAATGAAATCTAAGATTCAATGATGCACTGGATGGTTTTCTCAAGAGTCATGATCTAATGGAATTGGGGTGAACTGTGAAATTTTGTGACTTCATATTGTAAATGTCATGATGAAATTTGAAATGTTATGATGCACTCAGTCATTATTTAAAGAATCATAATCTACTTTAATCACTATTATAGGGAGCAGAATTACTCACCTAACAGTCACTTACTACAGTATTTGACTATGTGTTGTATACTTTTTTCTATGTTTATTTCATTGCATTTACGTTTCATGTTGACACCTGCACCAAGAGGAATTCCTTGTACAAAAGATTCTGATGAATCTGAATAATGTTGCACAAGTTTGCCCATTACATTCCACTGCTTATGACAGTGCATTATGGGTATTCCATGTCTGTTTGTTTCTGTTGTGGTGCATAATGGAATTGAAAGTATACGCTTTGTTTTCACCCAAACTGTTGCACACGACTGTGTAGGGAATAAGGGTTAGTTTTAGCTGTAGCCCTAAAGTTTTGTAATTCAAATAAAAAGTCAGAAATATATACTGGTGTTGTCAAGGGGAGCCTATTATATTATATAGCCTATTATATCCAATGATACACACACATCCAATGATAGACGCAGAACGATGGCTAAGAGTGTTCTGTATAGAGGCCGTAGTGTTCTCCTCATGTTGGACGTTCCAATGCAGAGCTCTAGTATATGTTCTATGCACATTTCGTGCCTCGACAACTTCCGCCTACGAGAAACGGCCCAGCTTCAGATTTTAGCATAAATATTTCAGGCTAACTGGGACATGCTTCACCTCAGCTGTAGCGGGAGCCTGTTGGATACCTAGTTTACTTTAACTTTCTCTCTCTCTCCCTCCCCACACTCTGCACCTCCATCTGTCTCTACCTCTCCCTCGTTCCCTCGCTCACTCTCTCTCTCTGCTGCTCTGCTCTTTCATTAGCCTTTTTCTGTCTTCTCTGTGTCCACCCACTTAACTCAGGACGACCCCCCTTCCCTGTCTATCTCTCTCCCTTTCTCTTTCTCACTCTGTCTGTCTGTCTGTCTGTCTGTCTGTCCGTCTGCCTGTCTGTCTCTCTCTCACTCTGCTCTGTCGCTTTTTCTCAAAGAGTCGTGGTGACGGACCTTGACTGGCCGCCTTGCTCTCACATCCTGTCTTTTCTTCTTCTCCTCCGTGGGCCCCCTCTCTCTTCAGTCACTTTCTCTCGTTCCCCACACATACACTCACATGCGCGCGAGCACACACACCGTTGTGGTGCAGAAAAGACCAATTAAAATCCATCTTGTCTCCTTGCTGTCTCCCACCAAACTCTCTCTAGGGCGACTAATTAAAATAGAACCCCCCCTCCTGCCCTCCTCTACCTCTGTACTCTCTCTCTCTCTCTCCTTCTCTTTTCCTCTCTTTCTGTCACTCCTGTCCTCTGTGTCTCGTCTCTCCCCTGTTTTCTAACCCCTTTTCTCTCTGCCTGCTCTTTGTTCACTTCTCTGGACTTGAGACCTTCTTTGGACTTTGTGCCACCTGGCGCAACTCTTCTTCAGCCACAGTGGTTTATTTCTCTCCGTCCGGCCATCTGTCTGTCTGTCTGTCTGTCGGTCTGTCTGTCGGTCTGTCTGTTGGTCTGTCTGTTGGTCTTCCCCCCCTCCTCTCTGATTGTCTCTTTCTCTCCTTCTATCTATTCTTTCTTTCCATCTTTGTTTCCCTTTTTTCGTTTGTTTCTCTGTCTCCTTCTGTCATCTTCCTCTCTCTCTGTCTTTCCTTTTCTCTCTCTTTCGGCCTGCCCTACTCTCTCCCCTCTCTCTCTGTCTCCTCTTCTTCTCTCTCCTTCTGCCCCCCCTCTTCTTCTATCCCTCTCTTCTTTTATCCTTTCTTTCTTTTTCTTTGTCTTTCTTTCTCTTTCTTTCTATCACTTTCTTTTTATCTGTTTCCTCTTTTTCTCTCTCCTTCTGTGCCCCCTCTATCTCACCTCTCTATTTCTCTCTCTCCCTCTTTCTATCTATCCCTTTCTTTTATCTGTTTCTGTCTCCTCTTCTCTCTCCTTCTGTCCCTCTCTCTCTCATGCTGTCTCCCCCTCTCTTTATCTCTTTACCTCTCTCTCTTCTTCTGTCCCTCTTTCTTTCTCTACTTTTATCTTCTTTCTTTCTTTCTTTCTTTCTCTTTCTTTCTTTCTATCTGCCTCTGTCTCACCCTTTTCTCTCTCCTTCTGTCCCTCTCTGTCATGCTGTCTCCCCCTTTCTCTCGCTCTCTATCTCTGTCTCTTTCTATTTCTTGTACCTTTCTTTCTATTTCTTGTACCTCTCTCTCTCTCTCTCCTCTCTCTCTCCTCTCTCTCATTGATGGCAAACATGTAAACAGCTCTTTAAAGGCGAGCGTATGTAAACAAGTCAAAGCGTTCTTGCCAACCCACCAAAGGACCATTGTATGCTAATGCTCACCCTATTAGTGGGGCTTCACTATTAGCTTTGGTGTTTGGTGTGTGTGTGTGTGTGTGTCACTCACTCTCACTAATTAGCATATAGCTGCTGTGAACTTGCGGTGCGTTTTGGCCCTTAAACATTCTGCAAATTCTCCAGACCAGATTCTGAAAACTCTTTCTTTTTTTTTGCTATCAGAGAGGTCATTACACAGACTGTCTCCATTTTCTTTGTTTAATTAGTCTAGAAACTGTTTACACATCACTGAGTTTCTGCTGGCACTGGCAAGCCTGCAGCTGAGGCCTGGCTCTAATGTGTAATAGGGCTGAAGGAAATATGGGGTAACTTAATATCGAGATGCAATGTTGGGTTTTTTGCGAAAAATATGTCTGTAACTTCACATATAAAGTTAATGATCACTGTAGCAAAGTTGTGTTTTAGAAGAGGTATTTCTATATTCTGTTTGGAACTGTGTGGTGTGGACAAGTGACCATATTGCAGTCATATTGCTGCATGGTGTGATGGGACTATGACTTTAATTGACAATTATTGACACCTTGATGTGATATGGTTAAAGATTGGCCTGTGGTGTTTTTTGACCAAAATAATTTGTTTGTTGGGTCATGTGAACACCTTACACTTGTGACTGCACTGTAAAATTATATATTGTATACAATGTATAGTATATTGGCAATGAAATCATCTTCATTCTAGGTGAAATATTGAATATCTCACTTTGAATATAAGTGAATATAAGTAAGAATATAAGATTAATTCACTTTTTTCTAGGCAGTTTTACATCATTTTATCTAATTAAACTGTCATGTTGCATTAGTAAAATTGTGGTTATTTCATGAAAACAAGCTTGCTTTTTAAAAAAAAATACTTATGGTGTTGCTACAAGATAAGAAATATTAATTTTGAGTAGATTTAAGATCATTTTACTTGTCAAGATATTATTTTGTGTCCGTGTGGTCAGAATGCTCATAACACACAGTAAAACGTTCCATGGTTGGTTAGTGGCTTATGCTCCACACTTCTGCGATATCAGTATTGCAAAGGCTGAATAAAAAACAATATATTGTGCAGCCCAACTGTATACTGTGCAGAGCCGATTAGAATGCTCGATTGATTGATTGTCGCTGATATTTCATGGAAGAGCCAAATGTAGGGGCAGCGAACTGTGATTCAGAGTAAAATCTGTGCTGAAGATTTACTGACCCACCAGAAATCTGCACGGTTGACTTGGAAAAAGCCATATTTAATGACTATGGCTGTGAATCCTCTTTGTGGCAGAAATACACCCACTGATTTATACTCTCTCTCTCTCTCTCTCTCTCTCTCTCTCTCTTTCTCTCTCTCATCCTCTCTGTCTCTCGTTCTCTCAGGCTAACAAGTGACGACTACTCCGTCCAGGTGAATCTGAACGATTACCTGGACATCCTGTGTCCTCACTACCCACCCGACTCCCCGCTGCCAGGCTCACCGGAGACGCTGGCGCTCTACCTGGTGGCAGAGAGCCAGTTTCGGGGTTGCCAGGAGACAAAAGGGGCGATAAAGCGGTGGGAGTGTAACAGCCCCCACGCCCCCTTCGGCCCTGTAAGGTTCTCTGAGAAAATCCAGCGTTTCACACCTTTCTCCCTGGGCTTCGAGTTCCTTCCAGGACACCACTACTACTACAGCTGTGAGTGACTTAGGATTTGGAATATTGTGTGTGTGTGTGTGTGTGTGTGTGTGTGTGTGTGTGTGTGTGTGTGTGTGTGTATACAAATGTGTATATATAAATGTTTAGAATTCATGTTGTAGAGAAGCTTATGAGCTTGAATTTCTTTACAGTGGTTGTGATAGGAACCAGGGGTCACACGATATTTGGCTGCAACTGAAATACAGCCATTTACTATCCAAATTACCAGTAAACCTGTACATGTCCTCTATGTTCTGACCAATAATGAAATCTAACAGTTTTCTTTGGGGACTGTTTTGCTTTTCGCTCTGCATGTACCTCTCTGCCAAGAATCCGTTTCAAAATCTATGTTTTAGCCAAAAAGCTTCTCTTGAAACTGTTGTAAAACAGCGAATCAAGGCATTGGTCAACATATTCAGAATCATTTTAAGTTAAAACTTCTTGTGAAGGAGCTTTTAAATGCATTAAACATTTCAGACATTTGGTTCCTATGAGCAGCCCCACTGTGAACTATTCTGACATTGCAATGGAGGATTTCACATCTAAGCCACTTTTTTCACATCTTAAAGATGTATTAATGCAGGCATTTGTTAAAACTGATAGAATTCCCTTTAAAAAAGAAGTGCTCTATATTTCTCAATGAAGTTCATATGTTATGGTGATTTTACACCAGAAGCAATGCAGCACGTGACGCATAACCTACACTGCTCCAGAACACTTACTATTGCACATTGTACACAACTTACGTGAAGGGGTGGGCAATATAATGAAAATATCATATCATGATACTTAGACACGATAAACGATGTGCAACACATTATTTTGATACACAGTGTAGCAGTGTCACATTTAAAAACTGCTACTAGTCATGTCGGAATGCACTAAATCTGATTAAAGAGGGCTCATGATTTTGCTCTTTTTTTAATGAAACGTGCAGTTGGTCATCGTGGACGATTTCCACAATTTGCCTACAGAAGCGTATTTTCTAATCAGAATAACAAAATTTATCATGATAATGATACAATATTGTCATATTACCCACCTCTACTCACACATATTGTAGAGGTGTCACATTGTGTTATGTTGATAAAGCGAGTACATTGATGAAACCAGCACATTTTCTGTCTGCATTTATTTTTTCAGTTAGTTAATAAAACCTGCAGATGTGTTTATTCTGTCTTTATTCTGAGCAGCGATATTACCGATGAACAGTTTGGCAGTGGCTGATTCTTTAGTTTTGTGGGTTTCTCTCAACAGTCCAACAGACTCTAGACTCTTCTTGAAGTTTGTATTAGTGTATAAGCTTCTATTGCAGCTAAAAATGTAGCTTACTGCTGTTTTGATTATGGATCTAGATAGCACAGTATAGCAGCAATATAGCTGGCAATATGGAAATTACAGCCATTCTGCATGTGACAAGCAGCAAAGACAGACCCAAAGCACATTTTTGGTAAGATGGGCTTTATATGGCCATTCCGAAAGATTGCAGCACAGGAATGGGAAGTAGAACTTGCAGATTTTGTTAGAAAACATAAAAGTTAAAAGATTAGCTTTGGCTGCTGAAGTTAAAGTTAGGGCTACAGTAACATTTAGCTAAAACAATAGGTGCTCCAGTAGCAAACACCATTTACCTTTTCTACTGCTTGACAGGTTTGACCTTGGGTTTAAGTAATCTGGCTAACTTAGTTCTGCATTGTGAAACACCCCTGCATGTCCTTACAAGGATAGCATAATGTGTAAAATTCCAAAATTTGAAGATGCCCTTCATTTATTTTTTTTGAACATTAAACACTAGAGGAGGGCAGAACTGATAAAGTAAGACACATTGAAAAGTCATATGTTATGCCTATATCCTAAAGCATACATTGTATGCAAAAGTTTGGGCACCCCTGGTCTAATAACGTTTTTGTTGATTTTCTAAGTGAAGTTAGGTTGAGACATCCTCTACAGAGAACACACTACTGCAGATTTTAAGGCACAATTACTGTTTATTTGCTGAATTGAACATATTAGGGGGAAAAACAAAGAATAAAACATGGTGAAAAATAAAAAGTTGTGTTATATTGTATTTTTTCCCAATATGTCTCTCAGCAAATGAGCAGAAATTATGTGCTAAAATTGTCACATTTTAAGTTTGTTCCCAGTAGAGAGTATGTAAACTCATTTTCAGTAAGACATCATTTGACAATGGGTGTTCAAACGTGGACTATATATCCAAGTTTGATTTTCATCTAATCAGTGTCATAAAATAGACATTATTACATGCCATATTTGCATTTGTGTGAAAGTTGTGCAGCAAACCTGAACACTGGAGGACTTTTTATGTCATGGTCTTGAACCTTGAAAGAGACAGAATATTATTTTTTGTGTCTTTGATCTTATTTTAGGGTTAGGGTTAAGGTCAAGGTCATGTTTATGGTTATGATTTGGGTTGAAGTTAGGGCCAAGTTCAGAATATGTTTAGACTTGGGGGTTACAACATTTAGGTCCTCAGAAGTACAGTATTGTAGTGCAAGTATGTGTATAGATTGTTTGTGCATGTAAAACTTCCTTGGATTGATGAGTAACCAGTGAAAAATGAGATTTTCCCCCCCCGGAATGCTGTCCTTCCCTTTCCACTTAAAACCACTGAAGGAAGGAAAGGAAAGATGGTTTGTGGCCATAAAATAACATGACAGATTTTTTTTATTTTTTTTATTGCTTTGGTTTCAGGCCAGGCACCCCCACCCCCCTACCAACTTCCACTCCGCTCTGTCTTTTTATCTGCAAGTTGGCCAGGCCAAAATCAGGAGCTAAAGTAAACAAGTTTTTTCTTCCCCTCACGTCCAGATTCCAGAAAATAATGTGGTGAAAAGTATGATGGAGAGGAGAAAAGAGAAAAAAGATCAATACAGGGGCCACAGTGAAGGAGAATGAAGAAAAACGAACAAAAGCGAGTGCAGACGGAGAGATGTAGTGGAACAAGGGAAGATGGCGAAAAGGCGGAAAGGAGGAAGGCGCGAAAAACAGGGCATGGGACAACAAAGGCCAGAGAGAGGGGTGGGAAAGAGAAAGGGAAGAGACAGACAGAGCAGGGGGGAAGTATCTTTACATAAATTACTGATCTAGTGAGGGGGACAATAGAGTATTGTTCAGGCATGAGATCCAGTATACACAGCACAGAGCCTATTGTGTCCCTCACTCCACAAACTTCACCACCCCTCCAACCACACACACACACACTCACACCCCTGATCTGTATGTGTGTGTCTCCCCATTGTTCACTTCAAAGATCGAGTAACGATGTGTCGGTCTGACTAATGGTTAAGATCACAGTCCTGAAAGAAAAACCAGGGGATTTAATCTACATTTGTTGTGTCTGTGTCGGTCTGTTTGTGTCTGTGTGTGCGCTTCGTTTTGGTCCCTTTGTGCAGACTATAACGTTGCTGTCATGTATGGAGGGACAAAATGGCCGAATTACAGGGTGAAAAAGATTCATCCGATTTCAAAATGATTTATTTCACGTGTAAATCATTACAGAACAGTGCAGTAAATTGTAAACGGTTAAAGTGAGCAAAACGTTTATGTAATTTTACAAGTGCTCAGTATGAACCTCCTCCAGCTGTACGGACAACATCAACACCATAGTCAAATTCATCCCATACTGGATTGAGCATGTCCAGTGTCACTGTACTCACGGCTCTTTCAGTGCAATTTCAGAGATCATCCAGTGTTGTGGAACCAACGGCAAATGCTCTGAGCTGAGCAAAAAATCACGTTGCACAGTTATGACGGATTCACTCTGTGGAGAACGCAAAACACTTTCTGCTCAGGGGTCACCATCTCTTCACAGACTGAAGGGAGCCATCTTCTGGTGACCATCAGAAACTCTATGACCCCCTCTTTCAATTATTATATGATTGGTTCCTAGGCGCCTCACGGTTGTAAAAATATGGCGCTTTGAAATACATGATGTGTGTTGCAATGTTTTAACACACACACAGTGCCCTAGTAGTGCTACATTTTAGGGCTGCATTTAACGTTTCCTATAATCAATCAATCAGTTCTTTATGGCTTTAATTAATTGATTAATCAGGAAAAAGAAAGGAAAAAGTGTGACCGGTATTCTGTAAATAACTGAATATTTTACAGCATATACAATGTTTTCAAACAATTACAAATACAAAGATTATTCCTCCTTTTCCAAACATAACACATACGCCATCTTCAGAATTATACTTTTATCAAGATCGACACCGCCACAAGATGCCTTCTGCAATGCCCTGTGCCAAAGGCACAAAAACAATAAAACAATGATGCATGAACAAATCTTACTTGACAGGCTAATTATTATTGAGGTAGTTTGATTCAACAAGAACTTCACATTGCTATTCAAATGATTTCTCCTTTAATGATGCAGCCAAGATGAATAAATTAGTCTTGGTCTATAACGTCATATAATTAATCCTGAAATTAGTGAGCACAGTGAAGCACCCATGTAGGGACGCATGGCCATAAAACATGTTCACCGTTCATAAATCAGTAGTAAATATGCACATGATGTCAACATTTTCAAAAACATCTGTCCAAATGAAAACACAAACATAGTTTTAAAGTCCACCCTGGAGAGCATTTTCCAAAAGCTCCGTTTTCATTGCCCTAAAACACAATTTTCAAGCAAGCGGGAAACCAAAACATGAAAAAGGATAGTACGCTTTCAGAAATATCCAGTAGTAGCACACTAGCAATGAATAAGTATTGTTATCCATTGTCATATCATTCAGCATGCAGTACAGTCTCACTGTGGTCAGTGTTGTCATATTTTAGACTTTTTTTGGTGATGCTTAACCCTGTACTGTCCATCATCTGTGTTTTTCCCTCTTCGTATAAGTGATGTAAATGGGGAGCAAACAGGAAGCAAAAACATTGTCATGACAACTAATCGACAAGAATCAATTACGAGTTATTATTAACAACGCTACTGGAAACATTAATTAGTAGTTCCAGTTGTTGCAAATTAG